GGGAAGTGGCTGGTCCTACATCTTTGGTGGTGGGAATGGCTGGTCCTACATCTTGGGTAGTGGGAAGTGGTTGGTCCTACATCTTTGGTAGTGGGAATGGCTGGTCCTACATCTTGGGTAGTGGGAAGTGGCTGGTCCTACATCTTTGGTAGTGGGAATGGCTGGTCCTACATTGGGTAGTGGGAAGTGGTTGGTCCTACATCTTGGGTAGTGGGAAGTGGCTGGTCCTACATCTTGGGTAGTGGGAACTGGCTGGTCCTACATCTTGGGTAGTGGGAAGTGGTTGGTCCTACATCTTGCGTAGTGGGAAGTGGTTGGTCCTACATCTTGGGTAATGGGAAGTGGCTGGTCCTACATCTTAGGTAGTGGGAAGTGGCTGGTCCTACATCTTAGGCAGTGGGAAGTGGTTGGTCCTACATCTTGGGTAGTGGGAAGTGGTTGGTCCTACATCTTGCGTAGTGGGAAGTGGTTGGTCCTACATCTTGGGTAGTGGGAAGTGGCTGGTCCTACATCTTGCGTAGTGGGAAGTGGTTGGTCCTACATCTTGGGTAGTGGGAAGTGGCTGGTCCTACATCTTGGGTAGTGGGAAGTGGCTGGTCCTACATATTGGGTAGTGGGAAGTGGTTGGTCCTACATCTTGGGTAGTGGGAAGTGGTTGGATCTGATACTTATTATGTAGATATCATGGGTGGAACTGTATGGGATTCGTAACCAGATGATAACAATTGTAATTGCCATGGCAACAACCATATACATTGTGATACGGCAAGAACGATAAATATTTTGACCGTGAGGTTGCTTATCTACTGTTCACATATGCAAATTACCAGTACATTATGCAAATTAGCCATTACCCTGAGACAATTTTCTGGGGAAACACTGCTACATTTTGGGTAGTGTGGGTGGAGTTGCTTGTCCTACACATTGTTTTGTTGGGAAATATTTCAGTTCAAATGTAGTACATGTGCCCATAACTGTTATTAGTCCCCGTTCGGACGAAGTCCGAAAACGGGGACTTATAATTCGGTCTCCGTCCGTCCGTGTGTCTGTGCGTCTGTGCGTCCATCCGGAGTCATATCTCAGATTCCCTTGGACCGATTCCGTTCATTCTTTGCATGTGCCTAGTACTTTATGTGGGACATATGCACATGCAGTGGTTCAGCGATTCGATTCAAAATAGCCGACTGGCAGCCATCTTGTTTTTTGAAAATGTTGTATTTTGGACATGCTTTGTCCGTTTTCATTCAAACTTGGTACATAGATTATACATGTTAGGATACATGTCCATGACGATTTATTTCACAACTGGATCAAAGATGGCCGACTGGCAGCCATCTTGGTTTTTGAAAATGTCATATTTTGGACATGCTTTGTCAGTTTTCATTCAAATTTAGTACATAGATCATACATGTTAGGATACATGTCCTGACCGTCCGTGAGTTCCTGAGTCTGTCTGTCCGTCCATCCGTGTGTCCGTATGTCCATGCGTCAGTCTGTCCAGAGTCATATTTCAGAATCCTGTTGACCAATTCCTTTCATTATTTGCATGTGCCTAGCAACCTTATGTGGGACATATGCATATGCAGTGGTTGAGCGATTCGATTCAAATGGCCTACTGGCAGCCATCTTGTTTTTTGAAAATGTGTATTTTGGACATGCTTTGTCAGTTTCATTCAAACTTGGTACATAGATTATACATGTTAGGATACATGTTCATGACGATTTATTTTGCAATTGGATCAAAGATAGTTGACTGGCAGCATCCTGTTTTTTT